GACAACAGGAAATAATTCAAAGTTGCATTTTGTAGGGATGAAAGAAATGGTAACGAGTAGGAAGAGCAAAGTGAAATTTATGTAGATTTTATCTAGGGGCGGACCTAATGAGGTCTCATAGGGTCACTTGAACCTCCAGTATTTTTAATTTTTGTTGTCTTAGTTTTCGGGCTCACTACGAAATATTAAACGAAGTTGAAATATTACATTCTTAATATCATTTTGAAGTACTCACAGCCTAGTATTTAACATCGTTAATGGTGTGTGAAATAGCCAATCGTAGCAAATGTTACGACGCATCAAAGTAGGCCGACGCAAACTAATATTTCGAGAATTTCGATAGCAGGCTAACTTTAAAAATTCTTCGATGATTCGTATCCATAAATCTTCTATAACCTCTCGAACTTATTTCGAGAATTATATCATAAACATATCGAATGATCTAAATGAATATCGAAAATAGTTATACGTACGTCAAATGTGTATGTTAAAAAAGACGTATAACTCATCTTTTTTGAAGAAAAAATCAATTATTTTATTAATGTTTATTATTTTTGCGCGACAAATTTCTCAATATAATTTATATTATTTTATTAGGAAATTTTATATGTGGTATGATGTCAAATTATATTTTTTTTGGACTTAATAATTATTAATAAAAATTTTATTACTTCATAGGGGTTATAAATTGTTATACTACTTTTTCATCTTGATTATTTTTATATCTGAAAAAAATTTATATAAAAAAAATTCAATCATTTTTAGGATTTTTTTTTTATTATTGTTATATTTTCCTCTCAATCAATTAATTTTTTTTTCAAATGACGTCAAGAATTTTACTAGGAAATTTATTAGATTATTTTGAAAAAAAAATATTTGATTGAGAAAAAAAGTGACAATAATAAAAAAAAAATCCTAAAGGGGTGTGTGTATTTTTTTTTCCCCTTTTTTGGGATCGATTGTATGCATTGGTCCATGTATATTTTACGGTGACGAGACAGTGATGAACCAAACAAATTGAGGAAATAAGTTATATTTTATTCCAATGTTCACATCAGAGGCACAGCATTTGTATGTTTAATATCAAGATTTTATTTTTTAGAATTTTAAATCCCACCGCTGACTTACTCACAGTCCTAGAAAGGTCATGTGTGTTTAACGCTTTGTTCAAGTGTGCAAGAACTTGACACATGAACGTGAGTGAAGTTCGAATCTGTTGACCACGTGTTCTCGTCGAATTTCGAAGTTAACAATATGAATTGAAATCATGCTATTTGTACAAACTGGATTGACAAGCTTGATTTACAGATTATGTGTTGGCAACATTTGGGCCAATTATTCAAAAAACAGTTTTTCAAATTAATTGTCTAAATTTTGCCAACACTTAGTTTGTAAACCAACTTTGTAAACAAACTTTTCACAAGCAGATTAACTCTTTTCTAAGAGTTTGTTTTTGGGGTTTTTATCATATTTAAATTGCAACTCAACTTAAATAATTAATTATTTCCTCTTTAAAAAAAATTAATCGGTAGTTTTTGTGGCATAGTCTGGCATATATATTTAGATGCATAATGTTTTTAATAATCAAAGTTTTTTGACATTGATCATTCAATAATTATATAATTTGTATACGGATAACAATTACATGTGTGTGTGAAAATGGTATGCTTTGTCATGCAGTTATGATAATAATATGGTTATTTACATCTTTTTGCTTATGGTAATACACCATTTTTGTATACGGTCATGTTACATGTACATCAACGTTTAATAATATGGTTATTCACATCTTTTTACATATTATAGACTAATTTTGCCTTTTGTACAATAATATAGTCAGTGACGGACCCAGGAATGAATTCAAGACCGGGCTATAAAGTCTCAAATCGAGCTACTACATGGAAAAAAAAGTGGAAATTACAAAAATCCAGACTTTTAAAGATCTCAGTGCTAATATGAGGTGAGATGATTTGTTATGCAGATTTCAGGTATGAATTTAATTCTTAATATTAATACAAAATATTTCATCCCCAATTCAATCCTAAAATTCATTTCACACAGCAATCAGCATCTTCTCTCCTCACTTTCTCCCGTTAACCCATGGTGCCGCCGCCCATAGCCGTAGAGAGCCTTTCACGTCGTCCCGCAGCGGTGCTTCACCTTTCATGTCGTCGCTTCATCTTTCTCACTTGCTGTTTTGTGGCGCTTCGTAGCGACGATCACTCGCTGTTTTGAGGCGCTTCGACGCAACACAGGAACCACTGTCTGCGAGGTTTGGATGGTGTTTTGTGTGGCGTGGTGTGGTGTTTGCGGTGGTGTCGTGGTGGATCTGGCACAACTGCTGTCATTTTTTGATCTGTGATTTTGACGATTGGGGGTGTTCTGCAAATGGTTTCTTTGTCCAGCATGGATGTGGGTGGCTTTGGTGACTTCGTGCGATGCCGGGTGCAATGGATCTAGGTAGGACGATGGTGGTGGTAGTCTAGTTGTCGTTGGCGTTTGGTGGTGGTTTTGGATGTATTAGTACGTTGTGGATGGTGGTAATGATTGTTGATGCAAGTGGCCAATTTGTGGTATGTGTACAATTTTGTTGGTGCAATGTGGGTGGAAGCCAATTTTGTTGGTGCGATGTAGGTAGTGGTGTTTGCTAGGGTGTTGGTGTGGTGTGCGGCGGCGACGGTTGTGGAGATACAAGTTGGTGGTTTGGGTTGATTGTTGGTGTTTTTTCTTTTGGTTGTCGGTGGTTTGTGACTTTAAAATTTTATAGTATGTGACTAAAAAATAATATGTGACCTCAACGATTTGGTCTGTGACATTAAAATTTGATGATCTGTGACCCATAAAATTTTTAATTTGTGATTTCGAAATAATCTATGACCTACAATATTTTTTATTTGTGACCTTGAAATAATATGTAACCAATTAATTTGATGATATGTAACCATTAAAAAAATCTGTGACCATTAATTATTTAATCGTGACTTTATTATATTTATTTAATAAATATTTTTAATTAATTAAATCTAAGCTTGAATTTTGGATTTTCAAACATTTTACTTGAATTTTAAAATGGTGTAAAGAATACACCTTAAATATGAATTTTTCCCCAAAAAAATTTCGTTCACTAGTTGTACATAATCTCGTTCTCTTTTTGAGATTTGGTAAAATTTTTTTAAAAAAAAAAAAAAAAAAAAAAAAAAAATAAATGGGGGGGGGGGGGGGGGGGGGGGGGGGGGGGAGTACAATCCTACCCCCCTCGCCCAAAAATCCGTCCCTGAACATATCCAATCAGTCGCGCGTAGACGCCATGAAAATAAAATTTAAATGAATAAGAAAAACTTTTCAAGAACATGAATTAACACAAATGGTAAATAAATATTTGAAGAATGAATTTACAAAACAAATAAAAAATATATCATAAGTAAATATTGTGAATTCAACTGATTCACATCATTTTCAAGGTTACATAGAATATGCAAGAACATACAGAAGAAAAAACATCGAGCAATGTCGTTTCATATATTAATAGCTCAACAATCAACCGCTAAATTACACTTTCAAGTTAAAGAAAAAAAACGCGAAAAAAGTACTTCGCATTTTTCCCTTTAAACCTACCAAAATTACAAGAAAACACGTATATGTAGCTTTTTACACGAATACCTATCCACTACATGGATGAATTCTGTCGGTAGATACAAAAATCTGCATATTGTTCCACATACGAAATCAACTTGATGGCAACCAATAATCTCCTCGTAGGGTTCGAATAAAATGTCACTCAATAACGTCTTCAGCTCGCTGGAGAAGCTCCAAAACATTTCTGGCTTTTCTTTTGGCCCTGTCGGTCCCATTCTCCGACAATTCCTTCAATGCCTCTTCTGCTCCAAGCTCACTGGCAACTTTCAAGTACTGAGAATCACCCGTGCACAAGGACCATAATATTGCTGCTGCATTTTCTCGGTTGCGTGGTGAACCAGTCTTAATTACCTCGATCAAGGTAGTGATTGGCTCAGCTTGCCCAATTGCTACTTTCCCTTCTTGATGGCTAGCAAGAATAGCCAATATTGCCAGAGCTTCATCCACCATTCCCCCTCCGGGATCCTTGAGCAAACTCATGAGTGGTGGTACAATCCTTGCCCTTACGGCCCTCACCTTGTTTCCTTGATAGATTAGAAGGTTAAATATAGCAGTGGCCGCATCTTTCTTTCCTCTCGGAGTCCCCTGGCAGAGCAAATCAATAAGAGGTGGGATGGCTCCAGCTGCTCCTATCGCCACCTTGTTCTCGTCTAGAACCGACAAGCTAAAAAGGGTTGCTGCTGCATTTTCTCTAGCTTCAATGCTGCCATTTTTTAGCACATCCACTATATCAGGTATTGCGCCAGCATTTACAATAGTTCCCTTGTTCGCTTCATTTATAGAGAGGTTAAGAAGTGCTGTAACGGCATGCTCTTGAGTCCTCTGATCGGAAGAGGATAATAGTTCGACAAGCAGTGGAATAGCTCCTGCTTCAGCGATACATACTCTGTTATCTGCGTTTCTTTTTGCTAGCAAACGAATCTCACCCGCAGCAGCTCTTTGCTGTTCAATAGTACCATTTGCAAGTTTCTGCAACAAGGCATCAATAGCAGCTCGATCACAGTCTGAACCACCAATTCCCGTTCTTTTATTGCGACAGTTCCCTTGTTTTTTAGGCAGCTCAACACCATTGCTCTCACACCACAAAGCGATAAGACTCTTCAAAACATAATTTGGTGTTAAGGCTGTGTGCAATAACGTCTGCTGAGTCTTAGGGCAAGTCTTGTGACCTGCATCCAACCATTTCTGAATGCAGGACCGCTCGTATGTCTGCAAAAGAAAACAGTAACTGAACAAAATTTTTTAATTAAAGAAAGAACTACATCAGTACATCATAGATGTAATCCAGAATTCAACCTGTCCAGTAGACACAATTACAGGATCTTTCATCAACTCAAGAGATATTGGACAGCGGAAATCATCTGGGATGACTGGAGATCTGTGCTTAATTGAACTCTTGTCAGCTTCAAGGGAGTCAGGGACGGGATTTTCCTCCATCACAAAGTCCTTTAACTTTTCAAGGAGAAACGACATCGTCTCAATGTACTCCTCTGGTACACCAGCTGGAAATCCAATGCATGAGATAACCATGTTGTGGATGGCGAGTGACTCTTTCTTCAGATCATTTATAGTCCTGATATGCAGTTTCTCAGAAAGCCTTTTAAAAATTATTGGGTTGGGGTCATCTTCCATTTGTGCTGAAGCTAAATCTATTGCCATTTGCAAATCAAGAGACTCCATTTTACCTACGGCTCTTTTGAATTGTGCATGCACAAGTTCAATCTGGAATTCAGGTTAGATTGAGATGAGCACAATGAGATAAAATAAGATATCATTGTCAATATTGAAAAAAGAGAAAGGGTAGCCCATAACCATACACATCTCGTCATCTATAAAAAGAAGGAGTACCTGTTCTCGAACTTCCTCCGGTATATCAAGTTTATCATAGGGAATCTGACTCAATGCTGCTTCTATCTCTTCAGTAACAAGATCAAATTTGCGTGCTATTTTGTCCATTTGCAATGCCTGCAAAATAGAAAGCGCACCATAATAAAACAATTTGAGCACAGCAAGTACCGATAAAAGGTTTCATAGTGATAGCAGATGATATTAGTTGTATCAAAAAAAATAAATGAATGGAAACTTTTATATGACTGTTTAGAGCAGATACTTAAAAACAAAGCTGGGGAAAACAAGAGCATTCACTACCATTAATAACTAGAACTTCATAGAGTTTAAAGTCTTAAAAATGATATGAAATAAGTACTTGATGCATTACATTGATATTTTCTATCAAGACGTAGAAAGCAACTACAGCACAATTCATATCTTCTTAGGCACAACTAGTCATGGAATTTTTGTGGCCTAAAAACTTCAAGAATGATTACTGAACACTCAACATAATGCAGTAAAGAATGATTCAGTGTGTACAAAATAACAAACATTACACGGAGTAAATTCCCATAATCAAAAATCATAAGTCGAGCGTTATACTCTCTGTTCCACAAACCGGACGTGTCAGGAAAAAAACTATGGCAGGAACCTTAATTTACAATACCAAAATGCTCATTGACTCAAATTTAGTAAGTCCACAGATTCACTGGAGCTCTTTTTATTCTCATGAAATCAATCCTTTAATCATAATTCAATGATGGAAAAGCATTCCCGTAATAATGCTTAACCAGTCATCTGTAATGATCATTACCCACATATTCTAGTAATAATTAACAAATTAATCATGTGCCCAATTCTAAGTAAGATGAGAATTCAATTAAGTATTAACGAAAAGAAAATTCCTAAATACCAACACGGATGCTCAAAAAACAGAGTAGAACACAAAAAGGTTATTTTTATTCCCAAAATTACATCTATTCTAATGTATATACCTGAAAAATCTTACTGCCTTCATGGACCGATTTCAACATCTCAAGAGCTGAGTCAAGGGCGATTCTCAGCGAGTCAAGCCCCTTAACGACGTCGCTACCAAGCTCTTCTTCTCCACCCTCCCTCAATTCCTCAAACAGAGGGCTTAAAAGCTTCACCCTCCTCACCAGATTACAATACATCTTCTTTGCAATCGTTCTGCACTCGGGCAATCCGGAAATGGCCTTGACCGAGTAACTTATTTGACTCAGTACCGCCTCTCTTGGACTCTCCGACATCAGGAATTCAAAGAATACGAAGCAATTGAAGGTTTAGAGGGAATTAACAAAGGCCCAGGTGGCAAAAATAGATAATTTGCCGATTTTTTCGATGGTCGGTGATTGTACAATGAGTTGACCCAGCGAGTTGAATTTCGTTCCCCAAAATTAGCCCAGAAACAATGATATTTCGAGATTTAGAGGGAAACTCAAAGAAAACAGACAAGGAAATCGATTGTATTTCAAGAATTTGTACGTAATACCGGAGGATCCGTGTAAACAGATGTTGAAGGAAGTCAGGTCAGAACCAAGGTTTACATTTTGATGAATTATATACCATAGTTAGTCACCGTTGTAGTCGTGGCGGTGACGTACAAGTAGCGATTAATAGGCAGTAAAAAATCATTAAGCTCCCGTCTGATCCTTTTTTTTTTCCACAAAAATAAAAAATATGATCGTTATTTATCACATCAAGTTATCATATTTGACTTTCTATCTCTTGTAGGTTTTATAACAACTATATTTTTCATTCTCATTCTTACAAAAATAAAAATTAAACGAGCCCTAATTGTAATAAATATGACATGTAAGATGAATATGATAATGAACGATCGCAAATAACATTATTCATTATATTAACGTCATGATTTTTTTTCCTTAGATTACATTTTATTTATATTTAAGATTCTCCATTTTTGCTCGTCATATCACTTGCATTTCAAACAGTTTTTCATGGCATTTTTATCCTCAACTTTCTATTAATTGACACATCTCGCATTTGATAATAGTTTCTATCCAAAACGTCCGTTGAAATGACTAAAATGACTTACTTCCAATCCTATATTTAATAAATAAATAAATATAAAAAAGGAACAAAATATTTTCTCTCATTGTAAAGTATGACAACAATATATTTTGACAAAAAATCATGATTAAGTATGAGATGTACTAATTAATGAGAAATTAAAAATAAAAATTGCATTGAATAAGCTACTTGTACATTCTTTTGTTTACAATATGGTCGACACTCCATTAATTTTCAAATTGAAATGGACAGAAAAGTATGCATTTCAAAACTTTGTCTTAAGAATTAGAGTCCTTGTAAATTCAATTTTTCTCTAATTTATCTTACAAATAGAGAATCATCATTAGACTTTTGATAACATAAAAAGGGAAAGAATTAGAGGTTAGAGAAAATATTTGTGCAGTTTTCTCTTTTAAATTTCTTTTCAACATAGTCAATTATTATAATGAAAGCTGACGTAGTTTCACATTGAAACAAATCTCCATAAAACTTGCATGCACTTAAGTATTTATTTTCCTTTACGTTTAATTATTCTCGATCGAAGAAAATTATGGTTCTAATTCTCAACACATTTCCCGCTTCGACTCCACTACCACCAAACTCACGCCCTTGACATGCCCCAAATTGCCAAACCCAAAGGGGGATCCCTACTCAAAATTAGTGACGGCAAAAAAATAGCCTATCCCGCCCTGAATGGGTTGGTTGGGCAGGGTCCCTGTTGCAGGGCGCGGCCCCGAATCCGCCCCATGAAGAAAAGAAACCCATTTTGAATTATGTAGATAAAATGATTAATGTTAAATTAAAAGCTCTCTAGAGAAGAAAGCTTCTATATTTAAATTATGCGTTCAACAACAACAAATAAAATTAACAAACATTATCACATCTTAATCTTATCATTTCAGAGCAAACCCAGAAAATAAACAAATGCAATAATCTTGTCTCTTATCATTCATTTGAATCAACTTATATTTGAATAAAAAATAATTTTATTTCTTGACAATTTACTCGTTAAAAATTAATTTTGAATTTGTATTTTATTTTATAATAATAGCATAACTTAAATTCTTGAAAATGCATATAAAAAATAAAAATAAACAGGGCACCAAATTAGGCAAAAAGCCGCTCCGCCTCGTCTAAGACAGGACTGGGCAAGTTTGGGCGAGGCGGGGTGGGGGAACCTGTTCCATTGTCATCCCTACTCAAAATGGTAAAATGGGGCGGGGGATGGGGACGGAGAATATGATCCACCTCCTAAATCCTCCAAACTCGGTCGAACCTCTTTTATTTTTATATTTTTAATTTAAATATATCTAAAAATAATTAATTAATTAAACAAAAAATAATAAATGATGATCTTTTAATCTTTGCTTTGGCTCTTGAAATTCTTTTATGGGACGGGGACGGGGATGGTAATGATCGTCGCCTAGCTCCAACCTGTTACGTGCCTAAACTAGATATAATTCAAATATTAACTTCATTAATGTTGATATCATTGTTTTTAGAAAGTCTTGGTGAGTCAAAATAAAAATTAAATTATTTCATTTTTATTTTTTTTCTATCTTGCTTTTTATCTACTTATTTTCGTTTATTTAATTTCAATAAGGAAAAATTGCCCACTTGAACGAATATTAAGTAGTTTATTATAGATAAGGGTAAAATTGTTCATCAAGGATCCCTGCTTAGGCAGGTACACGACGGGTAACGCCAATTCTTCCTATAATAAGTAATAACAGTGAATGGAAACTATAAAATTGCATCTGTACTAGTTAGTTTATTTATCTTTTGAATTTGGTGAGCTGTAACGGGATGTTTCACTTCTGGTACTTAAGAAAACAAAAAATTATTTGACAGATGGGTGGAATGGTATTTTTTAAAAAAATGAGTGGTTGAAAAATAAGGAAAAATTTTCGATTTACGTGTAATATTTTTTTATGAAAAATTGTGTGGTTGAAAATAGGAGAGATAAAAATGAAATGTAA